GTGATCGAGCATCGTGCAAGATCGAACGATCTTCATCTAGAAACGTCATTTTTCTCATTTTTCACAGTTTACTTGTAAAATTGTCTGTAGATTTTAACCCTTTTGCCTCTGACATTAGACACATGTGTTTTGTTAGACATGATCTGTTTCTAATTCACATAGCGACGAAAGTTAAACGGTGTTTCTCTCGACAGTTGAAGGTGAATCCAACGAACTACTCGAATTATTCGTAGGGTGAATGGAGGTATACAGGGTGCGTGGTGTCGTATCGGTCCACGAATGCGGGACTTTGATCACGACGAATAGATTGTCTTATACTGAGAACTAACGAGAATCCGGAGCACAAGTTTATTTAATTTGCTGGTAAGCTACGAGTCTCGGCTTGTGATTCTAGAACAGACTCGGCTGATCGTTTTTTTGGAGTGTATGGTTTGGTGTTCGGAGGAGGACTGATTGAAAAATTGGAGGAGTACAGAAAATGAGAGTTGGTGTAGGCGGAGTGAAAATCTGGGGGTAGAATATTGGAACGATGGAAATTCGGTGATTGGTCTTAGGATATTTGCAAGAGGATAGGGAAAGGGTAAGAGTGGGGATAGAAGTTCGAGGCGGCTAGCGTTTTGGAAAATCCCAGAAGGAGAGGAAATCGAACATCGGAGAAGGAATTAGAGGATAGGGTGGTAAAAAATTCGGTGCAAGTTTTACGGGGGGTGCGCTCGTCTAAAGGTCCCGTTAATCCTCTGCGTCGAGGCTCGGTCAGGGCCGTTTTATGGTTTTTTGAGAACCGTTGTTCCGTACGGTGTTACCTGTAACGCGACGCACGATTTTTCTCCCACTTGCAGCCATCTGACAAAAACAAGTTTTACATATAGTTTTATTATTAGCTTTTAATTAAATAAAGTGTATTTTTCTTATGTTCTAATCGCGTGTTTACATCAGTAATCACTTCGGTGCCAAATAACGTTTACACTGTCTTAAAGTCAAATATGTACGACGAAAAGCTGATGTATTTCACATTTCCACTACTGTAAATCGAATAATATGTTAGTAAAAATATCATGTATAGGGCCACGATGTAGCGAGGTCGTAAATTAAACTCTCAAGAATCGGCACCGATTGATGTTGCGGCACTCAAGGCCGTGTGTTGCAGTCTGTTTGAGGGTTCCAACAATAAACGAATGGTAGCATATGATTTGGTACTTCCAGTAGAAAATGGTATTTCATTTACAAATGGAAAATATGTTAATATTAAGCCACACAATCTTTTTGCACTTTCTATCTGTATATAACACGAGTAGATAAACTAAGATGCTTTACCTGTAACCGTACTTCGAAAAGCGGCTTCCCCCAGAGGGAGAAACCCTAATTTGTCCTAGCTGCATGCATATTAGAATCAGTTGACTTTGGCTGGATACAAGAATTCTTCGTACGGTCCTGACAATGGTTTCAAGTACTTATCTGCTCGTATCTCTGTCAATTTTCGGGTCCCGGCAGCAAAAACATGTTTACTTTGACGTCTGACCGATTTTACGACCTCGCGATATCGTGGCCCCGACTATAATATGTGTTTTGAATTCGTCTCGATGTCCAGAAAAAATATGTGTTCCTGTTTGTAAAACCCAAAGCGACCTTGATTTCCCCATGAAGACTAACTGCTTTCGAAATTTTTTTACCGATATTTATTGTACACTCCGTACCCTGCAACTCTTCTTCTAAACTTTTTTTCGTCAGATGGCTGCAAGTGGGTGAAAAATCGTGCGTCGCGTTACAGGTAACACCCTGTGTATAAATGGAATTATATTCTTTGCAGTGGAGCGTGGATGTTGAATTTTTCGGGGCAACGCTGCACCGTAGAAGATATAGTTCGCTTTGGGAGTAATTTTAGGGGTACGTTGGATTTATCTTCGAATAACGAGTAAAGTACCTTAGGGTTTTGTTGCTATTTTAATTAGAAACAGAGATACGATGGTTTGAATTTTTCCGAAATTTCGCTACGCACTTTGTGAAAATTTGAGGAGTGCCTTGGGTTCGTCTTCAAATAACGAGTAAAGTACCTTTTGGTTTTTGTAGCTATCTCGATTAGAAACAGAGACACCACTCAGTAAGTTAAATTGGAGGATGTGAGAGAAATAAGAGAATGCAAGGTTTCACTAAAAAATTTCTATACTGTGTTCAAAATTAGAGTAACCTCGTTTCGCGCATGGGGCGTGCCTAAGGCAGGGCTGGAACGTTCAGACCGTCTAGGTTTTTCTCCGTCTTACCCTCTGCTACGCTCTGTCTACGCGGAACGGACGAGAATCGGTCCGAGAGCGAGGTTACTCTCATTTTGAACGACGTACAGTCGCCACATTTTTCGAGATATTCAACCCTTTCGTGACCAGTGAGATACACACGTCCCACTTGAGTTCTCGAACAAAAATTCATCTCAATTTAGTACCCATTACTAAATAACAAATTCTTAAAAAAAAGAATTCCATTCCAAAAGGGTTGAACGAAATTTTCCCAACTTTTGCGAAAATTGAAATTTCCCATATCTAACGAGCTACAGAATAACGAAAGACCATTTGAAAAAAGTCAAACACCACCCCTTAATTTTAAACAGAAAAAATTCTATCTAATAAACCAACCCATAAAATTTCATCGCGCACAAATCAAATCGGTGCAAGCCTACCAATTTAATTAAAAGGGTTAATCGATTAAAAAGTAGACCTTTAGTACCGTCTTTTCAACGAGATTGTCATAAGCGACACTGTCCCCAACAGTCGCGTTCGCAACTATCGTCGAGACCGGCAGAACGAGGTTCCAAGCGGACCCAGGCATAATTCACGAGTAACGATTAGCATGCAGAGTTGGTCGTCGTGAAATCCTCGCTATTTTTCCTGCAAAATCATTTGGAAGGCGAGCGTCGTCTCGGTTGCCCCATGCGGCGTGGGTCAAGTGACGGTAATGAGACTCAATTCTAATCGTTCGAGAATAGAGTGCTTCTTTGTTCGTTCAAAACTTCTGCATAATTTCCAACTTACAATAACCAAACTAACCAACTCACGACTGATACAATTTTCACTTGGAAACTTCGTTGTAACGATTCCACGTCGAACACTTTACTACCTATTGTAAATCGAACAACCTTCCCTTTCCAGTTGCGCGACCACCGTTTTCACGATTATCGTGACGGACGCGATAATCATCTAAATCGACCTGTCTACATTTTCACAGGTGGATAGCGATCTCGTGCAATTTGTGACCGTGTCACTTTTACTTTCGACGCATGCTTCGGTTCTGGATTGAACGAGCGTTCGCGTCACCGCTGGGATTAGTGTAGCTCTGATGGAAACAGAAGCAATCTTTCTTATGGACATTGTAGTAAGGGAAAGTAGTTTGTGGTTTATCGTTGGTGAAAATTGAATTGCAGATGTTCAGAGACGAAAACAGGAAAGCACACGTTTCAGCGACTGCGCTATTTTTCCGGGAGCCAGCGGCACTTCCAAGACGACCGGTGATTTGGCGCGGTTAACAAGTACGACGTCACTTGGACCGGTAAAGCGACACCGCTAAGGCTCGCGAGAAAAGGACAGCCGCGAGTATATTGACAGGGTTAAGATAATATGCGATAAGGTAACAATTTTGTGGAAAACTGCCATGGGTGCGTTAAGATAAGGGTACCTTGGTGATAATTCCAAAATTCGGTGGGAAAGTGGAAACGCACCGGATTAGGCTGCGTATTCGGACGAATTGATTTCCAATATTTTGAGCACTCGGGTGTCCGGATAATAGGGCTCAGAGTATTCGGATTTAAATGGAGTATGCATTCGAGTACTCAAATATATTCGCATACTCGGATCTAAATTGAGCGAGTACCTGGAAATATCCGGATACTTAGACATAAATTGAGTAAGCATCCGAGTACTCGAAAATATTCGCATACTCGGATCTAAATTGAGCGAGTACCCGAGTACTCAAATACACTCAGATTCTTGGTCATAAATTGAGCGAGTACCTGAGTACTCGAAGATATTCGGATGTAAATTGAGCGAGTACCAGAGTACCCGAAAGTATCCGGATGCTCGTATATAAATTGAGCGAGTACACGAGTACTGGAATACATCCGGATGCTTAAATATAAATTGAGCGAGTACACGAGTACTGGAATGTACTCAAACGCTCCCATCTCAATTGAGTACTCAACCCGTGTACTGAAATTCGAGTGTACAGCAAGAGCCCTAACTTCAAACCCTCCTCCAATCCTCTCCTTCAGTCACGTTCAAACAATTCCAACCTGCAGGTGTCAACGACCTAATCCACCAAACGCTCGTCCTTCCGCTAACGTTCCAGCAAAGAAGAAGACGCAATTCTTTAAGGTGGGAGACTTGCCCCACCATCCACGCGTGCAAGAGGACGAGTTTAAGACAGTTTAGTACCGGTCGTCGTCTCGCATGTCCGTATTTCAAAGCTGTTCTCAGCGAGAAACGATATCGAACCTCTCCTATTCGACGCACACGTGCCAGTTTTCTTCTTCGTTATCGTACTCTTCGTCGTTATCGTTCCTCATTATCATCCCAGACGTCGCCGATATTCCCCGCACTCGAGAGATACTATCCATTCGTCGAGAAGCCTTCAAACACGTTTCGTTACAGAGTCTACGATTGTTAAAGCAGTGATTAAATTTACAAGTGAATCGCGCGAAGTTTGATAGATCGAAGAGTAGGAAGGAGGTTGTTCGAGTTGCTCGGAAGGTTAGACGAAGATAATAGTCTGGCAAAGGAAACCGGTTTTCTGTTTCACGGAAGAGGAGGCTTAGTGGGTGTACTTCCAACAGGATGATCGTGCAATGCCTCTACCTGACAGCTTTTGTCTTCGGTCACGTGTATGCAGCTGCCAGACCGCACATTGTGTTCATTTTGGCCGATGACCTGGTGAGCCTTTCATATCACTCT